AGCCTCGAGTTCAGCGGCAGCTCCGCGTTGAGGACGGCAGACCTCACGTGAAACTGCTCCAAGAACAGCTTGAGGCGGTACGAGGACTCGGTTTCATTGACGAAGAATAACCCTTTCCCCTGTCAATTGTGGTCAACATAAAACGCGCATAAAAACGATTCACGGGCGTGGTCGCTGGTAGCGTTAGCAGTAGGGCATCCGCATCTTCACGTGCCCAAACACATCTAGCTGCGACTTCAGCCATGCGCATTTCGCGAGAGAACCAGGCTAGTCGACCCTGCTCCAGCAGCCACTTCTGCACCAAAGCTGCCTTTGCCATGCGGGCAGAAACAGGCCTACCATACTCAGACGTGCAGGACGGTGTCTGCGAGTCGGGTCATGGCTCGCACTCTTCCGCAAGAAAATCACAACAACCGTAGTTCGTGCCCACTCGCAAAACGTTCAGATCACGGCCACGGGTATGGCGAACTTGGAAGTCGTTGCTGTCATCGTTTTGTGATTTTCGATCGAAACCCAACTCTTTTTGATCCAAACCAACTCGTCGCCCAAATCTGGTCCATGGTCACAGCAAGTCAGAGCTAAACACCCGTCACACTAGGAGCGAAAAAGGCAAGAAGAAAACCGCCGGTTTACCTCTAGCAGACCAAGCTTGATGAAGGCAAAGACCACCAGAAACTTGTCGCCCTTGTCGGCGAGACTCAGGTAGAACTGAGACAGCCGCCCGTCCCTAGCGCCCTCCTCCAGCTTCAATACCGCCGGGCTGTTATTCGATCGCAAGCACATGGGGTGGGGGGGGGGGGGGGGNGGGCGTACTCTTATGTTTTGTATGCCCTAGCGGTTAGACCATTGACCACGCGGCCCTCGAGAGGACGTAGCATTGTTCCCACAGGACCGATCACAGATGGCCAATCGTTCCTCCCACAGGAGCGGGGGGGTGGTCCAACCGGCCATACCGCGAGCTCGCGCAGCTCTGCGCGGACTCGCGGTATCATTTGTTGCACAGCCCACGGGCGCAATGTGTATTACCTTCTCCAGGTGCGCGACGTACTCACTGAGGATGTCCCGTGAGTTCGTCCCGGACCTGGAGGAGTTGAACAATACAAATAGGGCCAGCGGGCTGTGCCCAAGCGATAACGCGAGTCCACGCGGGCTGCGGGAGCTACATGTATTTGCTGCTACCACCCTGGCGTAGACCAACACCAGCAGCGACAGCAACGCTAGTCCTGCACGGCAGCAAGAACCCGCCACGTTGAACTTCACGATCGTATGCATATACACGGAAATGAAACAAAAACGACATCAACAAAAAAAACACCACAAGCTCTTTATCTCCTCGCACCTCACCACCAGCAGCACTTCCCGGTTCACTATTGTGAAACTGAGTGAGGGCCGGCGAAACCCCGGTATACCGCTCCGTCCCAGCATTGTAGGGATACGAGGTCAATGGTTCAACGACTACGGCATGCGACGTGAGTACCCACAACCCTAACCTTGGGCGGTGAAATCTCGGCATATCGCTCTGCCGCGGCAGTGTAGGGACGCAAGGACAACGGTCTCAACGACTACGGCAAGCGTACACCCGCACCCTCTCACACCTGTG